CCCCAAAACCCCAAAACCCCAAAACCCCTACTACCTATAATTAAATTGAAGATAGAGTAAAATGAAGCTTACTTACATTAATGGTGCCAAAGGTGACACCTGAAGCAGTATCAATCTGGAGAGTTTCTCCTCAGAATCATCCAGGTCAACCCCTATTTTGGAGGAAGCCCCAGTGCCTGCTCCTAAAGAAGTAAAAGGTAGCCCAGTTAAAGCAAAGAGAGATTTCCTGAACCTGTCATGAAACTTACTCTGCAAATATTCAGGGTCGGACAATCCAGAGAGGGCAAAACCAAACTGATTCAGCAGTGAGGGAAGGAGCCCAAAGCAGAAGTTAAACTGTAAGTCACTGCTCTTTCAGGAACCACTCTATATTAATCCTGATGTTTCCCTGGGTTTTCTTCAAAAGTCCTACTACAACAGGGTCTCTGCAGAAGCCTGAATACGGTTCTTTCTTTGATTCGGAATCCAGGCTCTTTCAGCTCAATTCTTTTTGGCCAGCCAACTAGAATAAGCCAAGCTTTCATGGGATTGGGATAGCTTCACAATTTATATCTGTTTTGTTATGATAAGTTATTAAGATTATGCTTTTTGAAACCTGGCCATTGATTGCATAAAATAACTTGTTATAGACAAGAGGCAAGAGTCTCATGCAATTTATTACACATCAACCGAGAAGACTGAGCCAAGTACCTGCTCCAATTCAGCCGTCAACCTGAGTAAGATGTTTAACCAATCGGGTGTAATTGCAAAAATTTCGTATCTGATTTATTTTTAAATCGAGAATTCATAGATAGATTCTCAAACTCAGCAAGTAGCAAGAGGTCTCTTATGCACAGATTTTATATGAAAGAGAAGAGCAAGCCAGGAACCAAATCTTATATTCCTGGAGGGAACCGTGACAAGAACTTTTCGCAGGATGACATCCCTCAGGATGTATACCAAAGTCTTTATGGGAAAAAGACTATTGCAAGGGGTATTCGAAAAACAAATCTTAGAAAACTCAAAAATAAGTCTAATATCAAGAAGACGAAGAAAGCAGACTTGGCCTTGTACAACAAGATCAGCTCTGATTTCACTGAAGCTTTGAAAAATATTTCTGAAGGGGCCAAACAAGGAGAGGGCACAGTCAACAGAGTCCAATTTATGGAAATCCTCCTCCATCTCGGATATGTAAGTAGTACTTTATGACAATATTTCATTATTTTATAGCTTAGCACGATAAAACACCCTCAAAATATCAAAGAATTCGACGGTAAGAAGTCCAATGTTTGACCTTTAGGCAAGGAAACAGGTGGACAAATGGATGAAACCATTTCACTTTGATGGAAAATCTGGGATAACTTGGAAGGAAACCTCCAAGATTTTGTCAAAATCCAAGATCTTAAGAGCTACCTCTGTGCTATTTCTAATGTTAATATTCCTAAGAAACGGGGATGTAAGAAGGTAAAGAGCCCAAAGCCCAAGAAAACTACCTCTGGGGATTATAGAAGTTGCATCTCTACCAATATTAGTCCTGCCTGTATGGATATGTTCAAAAGAAAAATTGCAAAGGAAAAATAGTAAGTTCTGGTTTTATCTCATCTGATCGTTCTGTAGTACCAATAAAACCAAATCTACAAGAAAAGGGTCATTTCTGAGCAAAAAGAAGCTCAAGACTATCCAGAAAGAGTTTAGTCAACTCTCGGAGAATCGTAACAAATTCCTTCTCCAAGTTAATCAGACTCCTATATCTAAGAGACCTCTGTATGTGGATGAATCTCTTGGAGTTGTTAACTATACTATCCAAGACTCTAGTTTGAGTCACGAGGGGAATCCTGAAAATAAGATGATCCAGAACAAGATGTTGAAGAACATTAATGCTAGAAGAAGCAAAATGGAACATGATTCTAATAGAACAAGCCATTGAAGGGAATCTGTACCTTATTCTCCCAAAAGCACTTATTTGTTCACTCCTAAACAGTAAGGCATTTCAGCTATATTATAGGAAAAATAGGCTCTTCGAGTACTGCCAAAGAGAAGAAATCAAAGATAAATCTGAACGTAAGTTTCTGAGAGACATATGCACTCTTTTGGGACATTTCAGATAGTCTGGTTAATTGCTCTATATTCAAACTCCAATGTATTTTTAGACTAGAGATAATAAAATATTATGTTTCTTATCACTTCTTATGTCTTCAAAACAAGAAATACAAGTCTCCTTTTATCTAAATTTTATTTTGGCACGGCTAAAATTTACCATTTCATGATTCTTAATAATATCTTGCATCAAAAATTATGAAACCAATTAAGACTCTCATTCGAGTCCATAAAATACATTTCTTTGCCTCAAATGTTCTAAAGAATACTACTCTAAACCCACTCTCTTCGTCAGTTATTCCATCTTGGTCATGGCCTTTAAAATTGTAAAGCTGAAATTCAAGCTCAAACAGCCCCAGTTTCTCGTTCAAGTACTCTTTGCCCACAGAACAAAGATGATCTTCCGTTTGTAGTTTCTCCGGAGCCCACCTCGCTCATGCTGGCAAAGACAACGTACATGACTACTTCTAGTGAAGACTGAAAGAAGGAGGAAGAGGCCTCTTCTAGCCAAGGGGCTGATACAGGCAATTTAGAAGAGACAAAAGCTCTTAAGACTTGTAATAGTGAGGCTGACCAGACCTCAACTTCTATGGATACCACCAGTGTTGTGTTATTTAAGCCTTTCAGCTTGAAACTCAATTCTGCTAGTCCTAAAAATCATTTAGAGTAAGTTATCAGGTTTCAGACATCTAGAAAACTCAAAATGAGACAGAAGAAAGAGGAGCAACCTCAGGCTCTCAATTTTGGAGCAGAGAATTCATGCCATGATCAAGAGGAACATCTCAATAAGCAACTTGAAGAAGAGAACTTTACGCACATGGTCCAGAACTTACTACATTCTTCTAGAGATTACAACGAGAGCGAGGATTCTGGATCTGAACAAGATAATTCATATCTTGAAGATTGAATTGAGACCAATATTTTAGAAGTATGGAATTTTTGATAACTTCTAGGTAAATAATGAGCAAGATTTTGAGAATGCGAGCAAAACGATTACAGAAAACAACCTGTCATTGGAAGACTCTTGAAAAGATTCTGAATCATGAGTTGGATTTACAAAATCTCCATATCTTTACATAGATGTCACTATTAACAATAAGGAGATACACTCGATTCCTATCTGTGAAGGAGACTGTCCTATAAAGCTAACAAACGAATTTGCAGAAAAGCATTCTCTCCTTGAGTCAGCCAAGGAGAAATTACTAAGCTTGATCAAGAGCCAAATCGTGACTGGCCTGAGTAAGATAGAGGAAGTGGAGAATGAAGCTACAGATAATTCCTCTGAGTGATCATACTCTTAATCCCACTATAAAATCCTCGTGTTTCTATTATTGAATACTAATTATTTCAATTGGATATATTAAAATAGGGGTTTTGGGGTTTTGGGGTTTTGGGGTTTTGGGG